CCCACTTTTATTCATCACCGTCCCTACTTTTATTCATGATTCCAAGAAAATGCTCCAAAAAAGTTTCTAACAAGATGACTTTTTGGGTCAATTTCTTTTATTTGTTTCACCAATTTAACTGAATGCCGTTCTACCGCTGTGAGTGTGTCACGCATCCCAATAATATACTCCAACCACTTAAAGCGTTTATTATTGTAATCTTCTAGAATTTCTTTCAAAATCCCAAGTGTATCAATCATCTGTTCTTGAAATTCAAATATCGTTGATATTTTTGGTTCTTCGTTCTTGATAATTTTCTTTCTCGTTTCAACATTCGAAGTCTTAAGAATTTTTCTCAGCCAATTTGTAACTGCTTCAATTCCTTTATCAATGCTTGTTCTTAATTTATCAGCCACTTCCATCTCCTTGTTGAATTTTACCTGGCATTCATTGTATTCCGTTCTCATGGTATTTATATCATTGGCAATTTGTTGCACATGGTCCATGACAAGTTTATTCTCATTCCAGTTGTCAACCGAACTATCAAAAGTGTCGTCATGTTTTTCAGACGGTTTAAATGACATCATTTTCAAAATTTCCGAATTTAGATTGACAATTTTCCCTTGCCCATCACCAATTGATGAAATCAATTTACGGAAGTAATTCTTCGCATTTTCTCCATTTATTTCCATATTCGCTGGTACTTTGCCCATAAATAAATCTCCTTTGAGATTGTTCGGAATTTCCTTCGATGGTGCTTTAAGTTTTGGCTTAATTTCATAGGAATTTTTCGGAAATGTAATCATAAAATCCAATTTTGGTCTCAATTTAAAATCGATGGTCGTCTCTGCTTTGGAATACAATTTTTCAAGCAATGAAAAGAATGTGAGGTGTTCGGAAAGATTTCCAATGATCGGCTGAATTAATGAGAAAAGTTAGTTTGGGAGAGAACTTTTTGGAGGTTTTTTAACATTTTTACCTGAATAAACAGCAAAAGTGTGAGAGATAGAGACGTTTTCATCTTATTCAAGAAGATAGAAAAATTATTTATAACTAAGATACAATATTTACACTGCTGTCTTTATATACACAATTTCATATGAATTTAATCGATATTCAATTTTTTATAATGTGAAAAAAATGAAAAATAGTCTGTTTTTGTGACGAATGAATAAACAGAATTTGGTATCTGAGAAACAAACATGTTTTTCGGGTGTTTTCCATTCGTGAATAGTACATCATTGTATAAATATCATCGTTTAATGTCAATACGGCCGTTTGCAAACAGGCTACAAAAAATTATTTACATACTACTAGTGTAGAGGAACTATCAGTAGCAGTATCCAGGCAGTGAGGACAGGAAAAAATCACTTCCTCTCTAGATAATAAAAAAAGACAACTATTATGGTTTCGTCTCTTTATGCTTCTGTCCATATTCCTTCCGTCTTTGGATCCCGTCGGCACCTGTGGTGCGTTTTGTATGGGAATTGACTGTTTTAAATGAAATTTAAGGAAGTGCGCCCAAAGACAGACAGAAGGTTAAATATCTGATTTTTTTTTCAACGTGCAGAGACTGTCTCTCAGACCGCTACATTTTAGAAGGAGTGCTCTTAGGAGCTAGAGGAGCACTTTATAGCAGAGATCTGAAATCGTTATTATTCATTTTTTAACTTAAAATAAAATGTCTTACATCCGTAAGATGAACTTTTCCGCACTGTGATCCACGACATGAAAGAAAACTAAATCTGACATTTAGTTTTAGATAAAAATAATTTTCGAAGCACTTTTCATACAAAAACTACTAAAGATGGGAATTTTTGTATCGAAGCCATGCCTATATGATATCGTAATCATGTGAAAATTTGCAGAGGTTATTTTTTTCACAAAAAGTTAACATTCTGAAAGTTTGAAGAAATTTCAATGCATATTAAGGGTACTTCCCATACAAAATTTCGTTTTAGAGCGAAAAATCCAAAATATTGTTCGGGAGGTGCCCCTAATATTCGTTGAAATGTCTTCAAACTCTCGGAATGGTATTTATGTGTGATAAAAATAACCTGTGCAAAGTTTCAGCTCATTACGATATCATACACCCATGGCTTCCATACAAAAATCCAAATTTTTTGAATTTTTTGTATGAAAAGTGTTTCGAAAGTTGATTGTATCGCAAAACTAACGTCATATTCGATTTTCTCGTACCCAAAAACCCCCCAATACACATTTTTGAGTGTTTAAGAATACATTAAAAATCACTTTTGGAAGAAAATTTGAATTTTTCCCATGGATGGACATGGGCATCACACCAGACATGACACTTCACCCTGTCAACCAAAGTCGCTCAAAATCTAATGGTTTCTATTCCTCGGCACCCCCAATCAACCTGCGAAGTCAGATTTTGAATTACTTTTCTTGTTTGAAAGTTATCGTGTTAACAAATTTTTTCGTACAGGGTACAGCGTACAGGGTACAGGGTACAGGGTACAGGGTACAGGGTACAGGGTACAGGGTACGCACATACATTCGGACATCGAAAAAACGCTAGATTCGTGTTCCCTGGCCCCAAAAACACCCAGAAAACACATTTTTTATGGGTGTTAATTTTTCGACCGATTCCAATACTTTACCTTACACACTAGGTGTGTGCGGAAAAGTAAAATACAATATGAATTGAATCATTTTTGCTATTTTATTCACAGTAGCACCGATGTAATGGTAAATAACTTTTTTCTATAAGAAAATTACTGTGATCAATTGATGGCAACACAATGGTAAGTCAATCCAAAAATATTTCAATTGAAATAAATTGTTTTTGTTGCGAAACGAATTTACGCGATATCAAATGGAATTTTATTCGATGTAAAAAAAAATTGCGTCGCTGAGAATGTGAATGACGAATTTGCCCCCTACTATCGCTCACAGAAATATTCATACAGGATTTTAAGTCATTTTTATTATCGGCGACACTTTCAGTCGCCGTTATCAGTATTTTTTTTTGTAGTTAGCTTAAATCGCCGTATATTGATTGGCAGCTATGCTGGAATAAATTGAGAACGAATTTTATATGCAATCTATTTAGTAACAGTTATGGTCAT